TTGCTCAATTTATACTAGGGGAGGAGGTTATGTTGTGCTCCCCCAAAACTTGCTCGCTTATATAGTCGTGTTATGGACACTGTCAAAACAGGGACAAAGTAAAAAGCTATCTTACAGGAACTGTAGCAGGCGAGCTCTGGTTTTGGGACCATGTTAGTGTTAAGATAACTAAAAGGGTCACTAAATATTTATGGCACATAGTAGATATTGTAGAAGTGTTTATCAACTCTCTCCTTTTGTGCCCATCAAGGTCCCTTGATGATAATAGTGGAGTTCTGCAAGTACGGAAATTTGTCCAACTACTTAAGAAGCAAGAGGGGTGATTTCATTGTCTACAAGGTAAATCAAAGGCTGCAACCCAGAGAGATTCAAAAGTCCCCGGTACATCTTATTCTTTTGCCCCCATGAGTTGGTTCCAGGGGCCCCAGTGTTCAGTTTTTCAGGTGCCATGCAAAGTCCCAGAGTGGCAGCAATACAGAGGTCCCGTGTAACAGGAGTTGGTAACTTTGTGTATCATCGGCAGAACCAGGACGGTAAGGGCGTGACGTCGGGGTCGGGCAGCAACCTGAGCGACCTCATCAAGCGCCGCCTGGAGAGTGTTGCCAGCACGGGAAGTTCAGCCAGCTCCGGCTTCATCGAAGATAAGAGCTACTGCGACTCGGAGGAAGATGAGGAAGGTAGCGGCCGAACGTCTTCCTTCCCCACTCCCACACACACCCCCCCCGCTTCACCCTGCTCCCTACCTGACCCTGTGCTCAAGGCTCCCTCCATTGTTTTCATCCCAGAATCTGATAGGCCGTTTCCTCCTGCGTTCACAAAATGCAATTTAAGGCGCAGGAACCCGTGTTCAGTCCGCTGCGTTGGGGGGTTTGTCTGGTCCTGGCGCATCACCGATGCTGTCAGACACATGTTATTCCCAGGGTTGACAAACTGTTTACTCAGGTGGGCTGAGAGAGGGACTTCACAGGGTCTGTAGTACAAAGCCCCCCCGCAGAGCCCCATTAAGGAGAGGCATGTTTCAGGCAGTGGCTCAAAACAGGAGGACGTGCCTCTTTTTTATTTTGAGAGGATGTTTTTAAGCTGCAGCAACTGGAAGTGGATTCACATCTGCAGACTGATGCAATGATATCAATAATAACCTAAAAATGTCAGTTATGTGGGATCGCCCCATGAAATCAGCAGACCACAGAGAAAAAGGAAGTCATCTATTTTCATTCATGTCTCTTGACTCTGTTTAGGTGGAATATTTTATCGCTTTTGATGGTTGCATTGATGGATAAATCTGTCATGACACTAGCCTGTAATCCCATCATTAATTACTGTTGGAAAAAAGTTTTTTTTTTTTTTTAAATGAAAATGCTCTTTATTTCATTCACTGATCACTATGTATCTCTTCCATCCACAGAACCAGAGGACTTGTACAAGAGAGTTTTAACTATGGAGGATCTGATTTGCTACAGCTTTCAAGTAGCAAAGGGCATGGAATTCCTGGCCTCGCGAAAGGTACGCTCCTCCTGAAGCCAATCACCGCCTTTAAAACAAAACTTTACACTTTGACTTTTAAATTAATCTAAGAGTTACAGAGAAAGCATTTTGATTAATGTGTTAATTTATTATATGGGACCAGAAGGCACCTTAACCGTGGTACTCACTCTTGCTGATTTTGAAAAAAAAAACACCTTCTTATATTTTGGCAGCTGTGGAAGGTCTCTTTTGTCCGAAACCAATGCGCATTGAACTTATACAAATGACGTCCCTGGTGTGCGTAAGAACACATTACCCTATTAGTCGGTGCCTCATTCAGATTGATGGCCGTTCACTAACTCGCAGAGAGCGGATGGGCCTAATTACACTGTGAACCCAGCGCAGTAAAAGGCTTATTAGAAAGAATAGCTTTACCCTGGACGTGGAACATGCCATGGCAGTATCTGACTGATGGCTGTTCCATATGCACGTCTCAGCTGCCCTGTATTATTACACCTTTGGTCCACATGTTCAGACGGACGAAGCTGGACCACACATGTTTTATATTAGAGAGGTAATGCTGCATCGACACCGCACAATCGCTCTGCGCTACTGCGGAAAAAAAAAAGAATAAATGCGATGAATATCTGTTCATTCATCATAATACAGTGTTGTGTGTTTCAAGTCAAAGCTCAGTCATTCTAAACAAATCAGTATAAATGACTAAATCATTCTTTTGGTTGTTCTCATCTGTTTTTTTTTTTAAAGTGCATTCATCGGGATTTGGCCGCCAGGAATATCCTGTTGTCCGAAAACAACGTCGTCAAAATATGTGACTTTGGGCTTGCGAGGGACATCTACAAAGACCCAGACTACGTGCGCAAAGGAGACGTTAGTATTTGCCGCATCCTTTTATTTAGGGCTGAGAAATCTCGAGGGGCCGGGGCAGTTAGCCTGTCTGGGTAGTCCTGTGGCCTGCTGTGGCAGAATGAGCTGAAACTTCTACTTGTAATACAGTCTTTCACAAGCACTCAACCTGACTGACAGCACAATAACCGTCTGCTACCACTCTCTTGGCAAGGAAAAAGAGGCATGAAAAATCAAATCATTCTGCTAATGCCAAACACACCCTCCCCCACCCCCCACCCCCTCACCCAAGTGCTCACAGCTACGATGCAACCATCACATATTTCTCGCGTGATGCAGAAAGGCCAAATCCACTGCTTGAGGTCATATTCAGTAAAACAGCCAAAGACAGATTGCTTCAAAACTTCGATACCCACCCAACCGTCCATCACATGTAGCACTCTGAAAAGGGGGGTGCAAACAACTCTATCAGTGCAAAACCAGACATTAAACAAATAAGGAGCTTTCGTTTTAGGAGAGCTCTAATCCTCACCTCTCTCCTCAGGCCAGACTGCCCCTGAAGTGGATGGCGCCCGAGGCCATTTTCGACAAGATCTACACCACGCAGAGTGACGTGTGGTCCTTCGGAGTCCTCATGTGGGAGATATTTTCATTGGGTAATTATCAGCCATTGATAGGAATGATTCACCGCTTTCTCTCTGCCACCCACTCAAGCGGCCCTCTCATTTGTAACAACGGTGTATTCCTTTCATGGAACAAAATGCTTTTCCTCAGAATACAAGTAGAAAGATCCACAGTTCAGCACCCCTGAGGGTTTCTTGCCTCATATAATCTGCGTCTTAAATCAACTAAGAGCAATATGGTTTCAGAACTAACCCCAAATCAACCAGAACTGAGACTCATAATTTTGCCCCAAATTGCACCAGTGTCTGTAGAAATCTATTACTGTTCACTCTGTTTAAGCTTTCATTGTTATTCTGCTCCTCTGCTGAGGGTTCACAATGGTAATTTGTGTATTTGCTTTACAGCTTCACCGAACATTGCCCAGTGCGCAATGAATCAACGAAGACATTGATTCATTTTGTTTATTCGATTTCTACAAAATCGATATATTTATGGGACTGAAATGCCTCTTGCTCATTTAGGAACCCTGTACGTGGGAAAGAACATGAGATTACAACATAACACAACATGGAAAGTCCTTAATCAAAGCTTCTCATGTTACTATGGAAGATTAATGGAGTGAAAATGAGCATCCCTACACAGGCTATGAGCCATTAGGTTCTTCCGCATGTAGGGGGCCAGATGTAGTGTCTTGTCTGGTACTCCTTCATTGTCCATTTGGGAAAAACAAGCTGTGCAATAAGCTTTAAAGAAACAATTTTCACGCTGCTGGAACAAAAACGTTAGTGAACACTGACAGTGATTTTTTTTTTTTTGTCACAGATAAGGACCATTAGAAAGAGAGAATTCCTCCTGTTTGAAGGAGACGTTTTTCCCAGCCGGCAATGCAAACTCGCAGTAACTAAGCAGCCGATCACTGTAAATGTTAGCTCCCGCTGTGGAACCCTGGTGACCTTTTAGACTGCATTGTATGTATGTCTATGACTGTCTTGTGTACTGGGATATAGAGCTGACCAAGCACTTGCACTGCTAGGCACATACGTGACTATGTCCACCACCCTTGGAACGCACCCAAATGTATGGCTTTGAATCAGGCTAAAGGCGGGGTGCTTTGTAGGTCAGGCCTAGTGTTAACTTCAAGTTGTACTTGTTCGTTTGGAGGCAGTGTTGTGGTTTTTGCAGTAGCTTTTCACACTACCGTGAGGCAGACTCTCAACCTCAGACTCACGCATCTGGCTGGCATTAACTATGTCTTACAGAGAGCAATCAGAACACAAAAGGACTTGCAGCAATTGCTAACAGCACGGTTTGCAACCTGATAGTGTTTGCAGGTCAAAAGTTTGCACGGGTCTCAAAGTGCACACATATGCATACTATGGTACCACACAAATTCTGTGAGCCGGGGCTTTGTCTTGCTGTCTTGTTGGATTTCCTACTCTTGTTAGTGTATGTGCCACCACTTCAGCTGCACCACATTTGTTTTGTCACACATGAGCTGTTCTGCAGTTCATTTAAGAAAAGCTTTTTAATGATAAATTGAGCAGTGTTGCAATGGAAAGATACACATAATACGTAATCTTCTTTCAAAATGCTTTATTAGTGATATTCCACCAGACCGTCACATGTTATCGGATACTATGTCAGAGAGTTCCGTCAAGCACACAAAAATATTGCTTTGTGAGTCAAGATGTTTTAATGGATTATAATGAGCAATATTTTAATAAAATACATTACAGTGGATACTTATCTTGGCAGTTCCATTCCACTGAGCTGAGATTTTTCATGTCTGTTTACTTTGGGAGAACATTGAGCATCAATTGTAACTTTGATAGTCATACATTAACCTCACTATCAACAGACTGCAGTGTGTGGCCTACTGTATCTGTGCTCTCCGGTTGTCTAATTAAACTGTGTGTGTATTTATACTGTTTGTAATGTATGTTATTAAATCTGTTATGAAACACTCTGCGCTATATAATTAACACACAGTTTTGCGCCTGTCTTTAGCTGTCTTTAACCCTGTTTGTAACCCTAATATGTGGGGCAGCAGTGTGGCAAAGTGGTAAGGCACGGGGCTTGTAACCGAAAGGTTGCTGGTTCGATTCCCCACTGGGGCACTGCTGTTGTACCCATGGGCAAGGTACTTAACCCACAGTTGCCTCAGTAAATATCCAGCAGTAAAACTGTGAAATCTGTAAGTGGCCCTGGGTAAGAGCGTCCGCTAAAACGACAATAATGTAATATAGCTCTGTATTTGTCAATGCCTGACATGTAGCATGACTCCCTGCTGTGTGTCTGTCTCAGGTGCCTCGCCATACCCAGGCTTGCACATCAACGAGGAGTTCTGCTGCAGACTGAAGGAAGGGACCAGGATGAGAGCGCCTGAGTACTCCTCTCCCGAAATGTAAGGAACCCCCGGTGCTTTATTGCTCACACCGTAAATCTGATCTGCGACGTTTTCCCATCCCCTGAGCCTTCGCTCACATTACCATCTGTCATCAGTGGGTTTTGCAGCATCGGCCTGTCTCATTACTCTGTGTCTTACACAGGCTGTGGGTGATACTACCGTAAATTTGTAGTTTGATATTGGAATATATTTATGTGTATATGTTATGATGGACGTTTCTCTCAGTGGGGGTGCAGCGCATTGTGGCTAGTCCAGAAGCGGGTTGGAAGGGATGTAATATGTGAAGTTCTGCATCTCTCCACGGGAGAGAGCAGATCAAGGCTCAGCCTGAGAGAACATACACAGAAGTGCCTGGCTCACCCCTCTCCAGGGACGCTAACATGGGCACTTGCTCAGAATTAGAAAAGCAGTGGAAGGGGGAAGAGACTGATACAGTTGAAAAGAAGAAGCATATCTCGTTTCGCGGCGGGGGGGACTCCCGAGCGGACAGCCAGGTCTGAGGAGAACCGCAGGCGACCACACTGCGATTGTGAGAGACGGACAGGGAGCCCGGTGATTGGCAGGGAGCGGAGGGGCAGCGGGCATTCAGGGCTGGGATCGATTTCTGACAGAATCCGGTGCAGCAGTAACCCAGCCCCACCATCAAAGGAGCTGGTACGCCCGGGAGACCTGGGGCGGCCGGACGCGGTGGCAGGACCCCCTGCCCCCCCTCCAGCTCCCCCCGGGGCTCCAGCAGCCAGGGTCTCGGATGGAATGCCTTCCCTGTGGGGCTGAGGGTCTCAGGCAGAGGACAGCAGTGAATGATTTTGAAACTGTACCGCAGTGGTGGAAGTGCGCTTTGGTGTCAGAGTTGTCAATGTGGAAGAGACGTGGCCCAAGAGAGCTGTGATTGCTGATACGGGCTGGGAACACTGACCAACCCCTCCGCACACACACACACACGCACACACACGCACACACACGCACACACACACATCTGGTAGCCTTGGTCGCTGGCTCTGTCTGATTGGGGAACGGATTAATTACCTGCAATCAATGAGAGTCCTCCTTACATTCCCTCTATCTTATTCACCAAGTGATTCATTTGCACATTTCCTTTTTTTTTGCAAATGTAATATAATCAGGCTCCTCTATCTTATTCATTTGGATACACTGCATTCTTGTATTCTCAGCCCAGTTGGGCCTACCACAGCCAACTGAGTACAGCAGGAGGGCATGAAAGACGATGATTGGAGACGATCTGTAAAATATGAACCAGACTTGAGTTTTTAAATACAGCAAAACATGATAACAGCCCTCTGAGACGCTATGGGAACCTAGTCTTGTGTAACGTCCTGCCTTAATCAGCTCTGAAATGAACGCAGAATGTGATTGTTGCGAACATTTTTTTTACACAGGGTGAGAGTTGTACACTAACTGAGCATGTACACTAACTAATGGATCAAATACCCAAATAAGACCTGCACTTCCACAAAGTTCTGATGTTGATTGCACGTGTAGGCCTCAGCCTGAGTCTTCTTAGTATCCCTGACCTTGACCCTCACCTTGCCCCCCCCCCCGGCCGTCCCGGCGGTATGACTGATGACAGGGGCTCAGAGAAGGTGCAGGAGATGCTCAGCGGTAAATCTGCAGCGTTCTGGACATCACTTTATCTGGAATTTGACCCTGCTAACCAGGGATTCAGGCCTGAAGCACCCGTGGAGGAATGTGTAGGACGGTTTCTGCGGCCCTGGGGAGCAAGAAGGAGTGTCCACCTCCCACAGCTCTCCAAACATCATCCGCCCCCGAGACGTTTGCACATTAACCGCGGGAGCACAACAACACTGAAGCTCCAGAAAGCCATCTGCGACCGCCGAGAATGATTTCCCTTCAGACTAAGAAAAAAGCTAATCTATTCCCATTTGCAGTCCGACAGGAAGATGGCTGGGGTTCACATTGTGCAGGGATAGAATGTCTCCCCGGTCCCTTGAGGTGCCGGCAATCACTGGGCCATCATCATTTGGGCTTCCGGGCAGTGTCAAAGTCCTCCCACCTGGGGAGCACAATTAATTAAAAGGGGGAATTACGGCAGAGCTGTTTCCTTCAGCTAATCTCCTCTGCGCTGAGGAGCAAAACGCCTCGACACGAGACGTCTAGGTGCCCTAAACACAAACACAGATGGAGAGGGTAGAAGGGTAGGAAGGGGGAACGGCGGAGGAAGTAATGAACCATCTGCTTTTGTTCTCTTTTCCCCCCCGATGCCGAGACACCTCAATCTGGCTCAGAAAATAACGGCGCTAATGGACGGGCGGCCGTGTTTGCGTAAGGGCGGGTGAGTGGGAAATAAACAGCAAGGTAGAATCAGGATGGGGATCCATCATCTGTGGGCTTCGCTCGCCGGCACCCCGCAGCTCAGTTTAAACACAGGCTTCAGTGTTCCATTTCTGCGTGCCCCCACGGTGCAGTGGAGGCCTCCGCTATAGGCCACTGCCATGGAAACGTGAACGGGACTGAGACGTCCCACATGGTCGGAGACACTGACAGCTCGTCACCACCGAGAGGGGCTCCTCTGCGCGAAATGTTCACAGCGAAGCCGGTGGAATGAAAACACCCCCGCGTGGTCACGTGACCCCCGCTGAAGCTATTTAGCATAAACAGTTAGATAACAACAGTTTATAAAGAGGGTCGCCCCGCTGGTCGGCTTCGAACTGCAAACACATCCCTGCTGTTGTAGTTTGTGCTGTAGGCATGCAGACCCATATCTGTAGGTTTGCGCTTTGCTGTAAATGTCACTTTGTCTTCTAACTGCTTCCTTACTGTTCCATGGAGGCCCGTGCAGCTAACCAGTATGTGCACAGCTGAACTGTACTGACTGTTCCCTGTTAGCCCCGTCCAGCTCCATTGTGTGTGTGCAGGTCGGAAACAGTCCACCTGTTCCAACATGCAATGACTTTTGGAGGGCTTTTATCTCCCCCTTGCAGTTATATGAGTGACATGTTCAGTATGTGTTTATGGGCTGCCTGTTGATGAACCTCTGTGTCCCTCAGATACCAGACAATGCTGGACTGCTGGCAGGGGGAGCCTGCGGACAGGCCCACCTTCACGGAGCTGGTGGAGAGGCTGGGAGACCTGCTCCAGGCCAACGTGCAGCAGGTTAGAGGAGGGGAGACTGGGAGGGTGGATCTGCATTAGAGATGCACATTACATCTACATCAGCTAAAGCTGTACTGTCAGTAAAGGACACACACACACACACACACACACACATACCTCAGGGAATCCCACACCATATCAGAGGAATGGTGCCAGTAGGTCTTGACGACCTGAATGAACAATGAAATTGTGTCACCGATTTGGGAAAAGCGAGCTTCAAACATTGAGGAAACGGCTTGGATCCACACTTGAAAGAGCTGGGGTGGCTGGAGGCACGGAGAGATGTGGCACCCAAGGGAGTGCTGCGGGTAACTGGAGGAGGAAGTCACACTCACCAGTTCCACTCACTGCTTCCTCTGAATGAGAGAGAGAGAGAGAAGAAGAGCAAGAGGGACAGAGAGAGCGTGAGAGAAGGGAGAAAGAGGGAGATAGCAAAAGGGAGAAAGCAACAGAGGGACAGAGAGTGAGAGAGGGAGAGAGAGAAGAGGAAGAGCGAGGGGGAGGTAGAGAAAGAGAGGAGGGAGAGTGAGAGGGACAGAGAAAGTGAGAGAAGAGAGAGCAAGATGGAGAAAGAGAGAGAGGGAGAAGAGAGAGAGCGATAGAGGGAGAGAGGGAGAGTGAGAGAAGAGAAAGGGAGATGGAGCGGTGTGGGGAGAAGGGGGGACAGGCAAAAAAGTAACCATGGCTGCTGATGCAAACTTTGCTATTTACAGTTGCAACTCTCAGTTCCCATCGAGCCCCAAATTCCTAAAAAACCGAGCATTAAACTGTGAGTTACAGTGGAGCAAATAACAGTAGCTCCTTCAGAATAGCAATGGGCCTCGTGTCCTGACAGCTCATGAGTCACTCACACACACACACACACACACACAGAACCAGGGGGAAGGAGCAATGGAATCAGCCTGGAGAATGATCGGGAGTGTGGAGATGGAGATAAGAGGGGGCCGGGTGCTAAAACACATGTAGAGAACACACACAGAAGCTCACAAAACTTTCTAGACTCAATTCAAACCACTGGAGAGACAGTCTGGAATACAAAGAGCCTTGAAAGATCACAGACATTCTGTTAACTCAAGGTCTGTCACCTCCAGCTGCGTTTGTGTTTTTTTTTCAGGCTCAAGTCTGGAGCATACAATTTTAGACATGAGTGAAACTCAGTGTTAATTTGTTGTGAGTTTTCTGTAAATACTGTTGAAGCTTTGCACATGCCTGGTGATGTAGTACATCGGCTACACGGCATAAATCTTGTGTCAGATGCTTATGAGCTACATTAAATTGCTCTGGTGAGCACATATGAACTGTGGTTCTTTTTCTGGAGCATCTGAAAAATTTCTCCAGAATTGCATTTGGTGTCAGCTTTCACCAGAAATATCGCCAGCACATAATGAACGATGACAATCCAACAATGCATTGTTCCAGCAGTCTCCTATTATTTATCATAACATCTGCCATAGAATCTTGAACAGCACAGAAGCAGCCAGAAAGATGTAGACGAAAGATATATTCAAAACAGGATGTGAACATCAAGGCAAAAACATGTGGTGGACAGCAGGAGAAGATGAGCTTATTGAGTTGT